GGATCTGATGATCCAAATGGTCCCACAAATTCTCAATTGGATTGAGGTCGGGACTTTGAGCAACCCAATCCAAGACTTGAATTGCATGTGATTCGAGCCACCAAGCCGTATATTGAGTGGTGTGACAACTGGCACCGTCTTGTTGAAATATGGCACCCGGACTATTACAAACCCAAGGTATAAAGTTGGTGGCTAAAACGTTTACGTAAGCCTCTGAATTCATTGTTTGATCTATGAGTACTAAGGGGCCAACACCATTCCATGAGAAACAGCCCAAAACATAGCTGATTCCCACCAAATTTTACAGTAGGCTTAATGCAGTCTATATTGTATTCTTCCCCAACCCTGCGCCAGACTCAAATAAGGCGAATCGTGATTCGTCAGACCACACAATTCGTTTCTATTCCTCGTCCCAGTCACGTTTGGTTCTGTATCAATTAAGTCGAGCTAAACATTGTTTATTTGATAAAAGAGGCTTTTTTCGTGCTATGCAACTCCCTAGTCCCATTTCGTGTAAGTAGTTTCGAATAGTATTTGCATGAAATGTTGAGGTGAGGTGAGTGTTTATGTCATTCGAAATGTTGCCTAGGGGCGCAAAACGATCTTTTTGAACATAATGTCGCACTATCTGCTAATCACGATCAAAAAAGGATTTTGGTCATCCAGGACGCGTATTAGGATGAGGGGAACCATTTTTTTTATAGCGATTTATTGTGTCATAAATGGTTGAGGAAGGTATACCAAGTTGAGAGGAAATAATTTTGCTTTTTGTATCTGAAAGATGTGTGCTGATTATTTGTTCACGTTGTTGGAGTCTTAGCTCAGAACCCCGCATTTTTAGTACGACAGAAAACTGTGAAATGAAGAGAGTAACACAAAAAAAACATTTTTAGGTATACAACAAAAATTAAGAAAGAAAAATGATTTAAAAAATTTTTTTTATCGCAATCAACCAATCACAATAATTCATCCCAGTAATTTACCGTAGGGGTGTGTATATCTTTAAAATTTTATAGCAAATAATTAAATATTTATTTATTTATTATAAAAAATATTTGTCCAAAGACTTTTTAGATAAACTGTATATATTTTTCAAAAATTTTTCTATGGGTTCAAGGAGTGTGTATTTAAAATAGGTTTACTATAATAATAAAAATAATCTAGGTATTTCTTAATTTCAAATATAATTTTAATAATAATATTATTATATAATAATAAAATTTTTGAATTAATTTTAATCTTTAACTTTTTAAATATTATATTATATTATTAATTAATTATTAAATTGTAAATCAAAATAAAAGTCATCAAATTTTTGTAACAGATTGTAAATAGATTAATATTAAATTTATTTAATATAAAAGATATAATTTTCTTTTAAATATTGTATTTTTATTATTAAAAATAAAGAATTATTATTTTTTTTTTCTAATTATTATTATTAAAATAATATTAAACCTATTTTTTAAAATATTCTAAATTAATTAATTAATTTGTATAGTATATTATATATTTATATATAATTTTTAAAATTTATTTTATATTTTTAATATATATTTTTTGTAATGAAATACAGCATTTTTTTTTTATATTATGAACACGTAATGGTAAAACAATAAGGCAATAATTTTAATCAAATCAAAATCACTTAAAAAATAAAATACCAATTGGAACCAATTTATTTTGCTTGTTAACTATTTTTAGCCACACTATAGTATACATCACGTGACAAACAACATCATAATAAAGTGTATTGTTTCCATTTGTTGAATAAGTCTGCTCGAAAAAAAAAAGAATATACCGTATTTCAACCTTCATCTCGCGACAACAAAAATATAGACGTAGTTTTCTTCAAGATCATCTGTGACTATTGTGACTGTTATTATTGTATAATAGTAATAAACAAGTTTTCTCTGTTAAATGTCTGCCATGCAAATGGATGTTTCTGACATTACAATTAAAAAGGAAGAAGGGACTTTTGAAAGTCCACTGCATTTTACCAGTTTTCCTGAACAAAATGTACCTTCACTTATTTCAAGGGAAGCTGTACAAAGTAGTAATAGTGGTTTTTTGAATGAACTGAGTGTTCCCTTAACGATCACGGGAATAAATACCAATCCAAGTGTTCCAATAACTGGCAGTATAAATAGACCCTCCAGTCAAAACTTTGAAAATAGTAATACAAATGTTCCGAGAGGTGTTCCTGTTGGAAATGTTTCAAATGTGATTGATCCTTCCGATAGTTCAAATAGTAATACTGATGGTTCTCAAGCAGCTTTTTCCTCAACTCAAAAATACCTCTCACGAGAACCTCCACCAGCAGCGGAACCCGCATCTTGGCAAATTCCACCTAGTGCCCTACAACCAAAGAAAAATTTGAAGAATGTACAGTTTGAAAAATACGAAGCACGTGTATCTGAAAATGTTCACGACACAGAGGCTTGGTTAAGTTTGCTTGCGGAAGTACAAGCGAAAGCAGATATAGATAAAGTTAGAGATACATTTGAGCGGTTTCTACAAAAATTCCCAACATCGGTAAGTGATCAAAGATTTTGTACATTATTCAAGAAATACAATTTATTATTTAGATTCGTATTGAGAAAAGTCTTTGACATAATAAATGATTTATTAATTTTTGTTGGCGGGTAAAAAATGGGATATTTATGCATGACATTCCTTTTCATGGGATGAAATCTAAGAATTTGGAAGTGTTTTTATTTAAAGTTATAATCTTAATTAGTCCCAAATATGTAAGGATAATATTGATTGATTGGGCTTTCTGATATAACGTACGAATCCTTTTTTTTTTTTTATTTGTAAATTGTTGCTTGGTCAACGAATTCATTTAGTCACGTCAATGGGTACAATACGCCGAATACGAGCTCAAACATGAATATTACGACAGAGTGGAAAGTATATTTGCTCGTTGTCTTCGCTCTGTCTTGTCAGTTGACCTATGGAAATTTTATCTTAATTATGTGCGTCGTATGAATCAAGTGGAAAAGGGGTCAACGGCAAGCTCAAATGCAAGGGCAACTATTTCTGCCACTTATGAATATGTTCTTAATCACGTTGGTTTGGATAAGGATGCTGGAACTCTTTGGTGTGATTATTTATTTTTCTTGAAAACTGGCGAAACTCATAATACTTGGGAAGAACAACAAAAAATGGACATTATGAGAAAAGCATATCAAAAAGCCATATGCATTCCTCTAAATAATGTTGAACTCATTTGGAAGGAGTATGATCAATTCGAAAATGCACTGAACAAAGTCACGGTGAGTTTTGATTCAGATGAATTTGATAAAAGTACTTGTGCTGAGATATTCATTAATCACCTCGCGTGTTGTGTGTTAGGCAAAAAAATTTTTGCAAGACCGTTCGCCATCGTACATGACTGCACGAGCCGCTGTGAAGGAGATGCGTCGGTTTACAGACAAAATTAACAAAAATCTGATCCCAACACCGCCGAAATGGAACAAAACAGAAAAAGAACAGGTAGTTTGCTATTATCTATGCAAAGAAACCGTACACACACATACTTATTTGACGTATATGACTTTACAGCTCTCATATTGGAAAGAATGGATAGAATGGGAAAAATCAAACCCTTTGGCATTAGAAGATCAACAAGCACTGACACAAAGAATAATATATGTTTATAAGCAGGCGATGATGTACTTGCGATTTTATCCTGAGATATGGTAAGAAATATATTCTAAATAACTTGTATCGGGGAATATTTAACTTAATCATTTGCCCATATGAATGACCAATAGGTTCGAGGCCGCAAATTACTGGGCGTCAATCAAGAAAGAAGAAGAGACGGTAGCTTTATTGAAAACGGCGATGGAAATAATGCCCGATAGGTTATGATGGTTCTTAATTTCTTCTTTCAGTAAATGATGCGTATTGATGACATTAACACATTTATTATTATTAGTTTTCTTATTTTTTTTGCCTACGCCGAATTGCAAGAACATCGAAAACAATATGTTGAAGCGCGCCAAGCTTATGAATCATTGCTTTCACATTATCAATCTCAAATAGAGGAAGTCGAAAAATCTACTGAAGAAGAAATCCGAATATTGATGCAATCATCCGTCGAAAGTGTTAACGAAGATGGAGATACGGAGATGGATGGTGAAACACGTGAACAACTAAGGATCAAAGAAAAGGAACGAGAGAAAGAAAGAAATAAACTCGAGGAAAGCAAGCGTCAGGAAATAGAGGAATTGGCAAAAGCTTGTGGTCTTATTTGGATAATGCTAATGCGATTCACAAGACGCACGGAGGTATTTATTTTCAAGGTTTTTATAAATTATAAATGCTGATAACAATTTGTTAACCCATCAATCCTTATTTCAGGGCATCAAAGCCGCTAGAGCTATATTTAGCAGGGCAAGAAAGTCGAACCATTGCACATATCATGTATTTGTTGCTTCTGGTAAGAATCACAGCCTATCTTATTATCTCCATTTTTTTACCTTCACTAACCTTAATTATAAACATAGCATTGATGGAATATCACTGTAGTAAAGATCAGGCAGTTGCAGGTAAAATTTTTGAGTTAGGATTAAAGAGTTATGCGGACAACTCGGAATTCGCGGCTCAATATCTGGACTTTTTAATTCAATTGAATGACGATAATAGTAAGTTCAACTTTATTTTTCTTATATTTTTCCTTGAGTGTTATGTTTTGAGAAATTTTATTTTATTTTATTTTATGCAGACGCGAGAGCACTTTTTGAACGAACTCTGAAGTCTATGCCAGTTGAGAAAGCAAAGATTTTATGGAAACGGTTTTCAGAATATGAGAATAAATATGGTGATCTTACAGCGATTCGAAAAATTGATGAAAGAAGATCAAAAGAATACCCAGAAGGTAATTTTAATTGTTCTATTTGTGACTGTTGTCTGTTACCTTTGTGCTCAAACTTATCATTCTTATAAAATATGTAGAGTCTTCGTTATCTCGGTTTGCGGATCGATATAGTTTTTTAGATACAAACATCATATTAAAGAAAGAAGTTGGCCCGAAACGTGAGCATTCGTGCAGATTATTAGTTCATTTAAATATTATTACTTAATTTTTGATTCATTTTTTGTAGCCGACCCAGAGACAATAGAAAGTCCACCTTCCGAAATTCAAAATGAGGAGGAACAGGATTCTGCACCCACTAGACGTGCGTTATTAGATTCTGTACACCCAGAAAAGTATCCTCGACCAGATTTTCGACAATGGGTTTTGTACAAACCTACAGCAGAACAATTGCGTCGCCCATTCTTCCCTCCGCCCGTATCCTCCAATACAAGTTCAGCACAGTCAGTAGGCCCATCTCCACCTCCAGCCTCACAGGGAGGTTCATCACAGTCACATGGCTCTTCCAATAATTCAAATATGACCGTTCTGCGTGGGAATTCACCGTCTGCACAGAATCTTACACAGCCTGCATCTTTAAACTGGACACATGCCCCGAATGGAATGATGCTACCTGATGTTATTGCAAAATTCTTATCAATGTTGCCTTCTGCATCAAGCTTTAATGGTAGGTACATTCATATTTGTAATGAAATCCACTTAAATTAATAATCTTATATTTTTGTCTCTCTTTTTAATAGGACAAATAATAAACCCTACGGATTTAATTGATTTGATTATCAATTCTGTGCCAGGTGGTGGATTGTTAAATGGGCCGTCACATCCACTTCAACCACCTATTTCACAATCACGGGATAGATCTCGAGGGGGTAGTCCTGCTCGTGCTGATGGTAGAGGTTACGGTGGAGATGGCAGATATAATGAAGGTTCTAGAGGATATGATCGTAATCTAGAGGGTGGCCGAGGTGGTCCTGGTCGACTCGGAAAGCAAATGAGAGTAAGCACAGATTCACTTGGTCTTTGATTTTTGAATTGTGAAAATTTATACTTATCTTCTTTATATCTACATTCTAGGGTTCAATTTCAACGCAACGTGGTCGAGGTGTAAGTGATGGCGGATCGCAGTTCAATTCCAAGCGTAGAAGAAGAGATTTTGATGGAGAAGCAGAAGAATTTCAGGGCAGAGGTAATCTATTGGCATTATTCTAACAAAATCTTTGTATAATTTATGTACCCTTACATAATTTCAAATTCATATCTGCGTGTACAGGTGGCCCCGGAATTAATCGACCCCCGGACTATGATCTCTTCCGTGCTCGCCAGCAAAAAAAGAGAGTTCGTAACGAATCATATGGACCAAACGGTGCTGCGGTTGGTCCTAACGAATAATTTTTAATCAACATTTCTTGCAATTGGTAGATATCGTTTCCGATATTCTTATTTCATTTACCAAATTAGCGTGACTAACTAATCATTCTTTTACATTTATTCTATGAAAATACCGTGTTACCTCAGTACATAAATTTCAAAAGTCCATTTAAGCATATTAATACTGAAATGATCATAATTATTAAATATATTTTATAGATTATTAATTACGATCATATTTATTCGAAAATTATTTGGACAATATTCACGTTAATGTTGACAGTCTGTTCGGATTTCTTAATTGCCAAATTCTAGATTTACCAATGCCAATAAAAAAATAAAACGTTTGTAATTCTTGCTTTAAAAAATTGACTTATAATGAACTTGTAACGATGTACATTGCTATTAGTACGTTGTTTATTCTTATTAAAGTTAAACTTGTATTCAGTTGTCTTTATTTGTAATTTGAATTTGTTTTAAAATCAAATCTTTTTATTAATTTTCTTTTGCTAAATAAGATATTTTTTTAAAATTTTCATATTAGCAATAAATAATATTTTTTAAAAAAAATTTTTTTAATAATAAATGTTATCCTAATATTTTGAATTAGAATAATTGAAATAAACAATAATAATAAAACGTATTTACGTAATTGGTTTTAATAGTTAACAAATTTTTTAATTACAGTATATTTTAAAAAATCGATTTTTTAACCTTATAAAACTATAGATTAAAACAAAAATCCATTTTTTAATCTTATATAAAAAATATTATAAAACAACAATAATTCTTTTTATAAAACAAAATAAAAATTCAAACATATACTATATTTTATAAGAATATAAAAAAAAAATTTATTAAATAGGTTTTTATAAATATATTATTAAAATTAATTATTATATGAAAATAAAATTTTTTAAAAGTATTAGTTTAATTAAATTATAATAAATAAATAAATTACTTATAATAATTTTAATCCATCAATTTGTAAAATAAAAATAATTAAAAATTAACTTTTATTAAATTCAAGTTATTTTATTAATTTTTTAATTAAATAAATTTATTCTAATTTAATACAAATACAAAATTTAAAATCTTTTAAAATTTATTTTTATATTTTTCTTATAATTTTTTTATTAATCAAATTTAAAACAAATTTATTAATAAAATAACCTATGGGTTTAACATAGTGATAGTGCTCCATAGGTTACCAGAAGAAGGTCTAGGGTTCAATTCTACCTGATTACAAAAATTTATTACCTTCATGATTGGTTGACCAGCTTCTAATTCATGTCATATCCAATCAGTTAACAATTTACTTCCAAATTTAGTTAGACTGTATGAAGATGTAACCTTTGGTCTTTCTGATAATCATGGGCTGAAAACAGGTTGAAGCAAGAAAGGTTGCACAAGGAAAGGCTTCTGGTCTAACTTCAGTATAAGCCCACAAACCCAACTGGCATAACAGACTTCATAGCACCACCTTTTATTCAGGTTGAATGATTTCCTGAATAAGTTGTATCCAATCAGTCAACTTCTCCAAACTGGTATGACAGACTTCGTATAATGCAGGTCGGACCCCACTATCCTATTTGATGTTAGTGCAATCTGAATTGGTGTTATAAGCCAAAAAGATGATCGCTAGAAAGGTTTTTCAACTGTTGAACAGGATTTTTCTTGTCTTATATTTATAAATAGAGAGTTATAATATAAATCAGGATATAGACTCACCTACTTGATATAAAAAGTTAATATTCTGATAAAAAAAGAGTAGGTAGCTTGAGTTAATATTAGCAATATATTAATAGACTATTCACATATAAGACAATTGTAATTTTAAGTAATTTCATAATAAAGTACATGCATGTATCACAACTTGGCCCCTAAAAAAAAAAAAATAAAATAAAATAAAAAAACAAATTTATTAATAAAGTTTTTAAAAAAAACATAATATTTTATTTTTTATATTTTTGAAAATATATTTTTAAAATTTTATATATATTATTTCTTATAAAAAAAATTTGTTAAAAATTTTTAAACAAACTGTATATTATATTAGTAATTAGAAAATATAATAGAATAATATATAGTAATTAATACAATTTCAAAGCATTTACTAGAAAGTACATATCTACATTAGTCCCTCCCTTTCTATCCTCATAGCTGCGTGAACTAAAGTTGTGATGTGAAAAGTTGCTTACTTAATATTAACATGTATTCAATTTCTTTTTCCTTTATCTTTTTTTCTATTTCCTTTTAAATTACATAACCTGTTGTATAACTATCTAAACAGTATATTAGTTTTAAACTTTCTTTTCTAATATAGTTTAAATAGGTAAATCATTGATAAACTAGCATTTAACTCATATATAATGAGAGATGTAGGTTCTATATACAAAATAAAGAACTGATATTTATCAATGTTAAAAAAAATATATATACAGTAATTAAAAATTTTAATTACTTTTATAGATAAAAAAATTAATAATAATAATAAAAGTTATTATTTTATTTTTAACAATATAAATTCATATACAAGACTATATATATATAAATTTAATATGAAATTATTTATTAAATATTTTTATTATATTTTAAAAATAAATATATTAAAATTTTTTAAAATTTAAAATAAATTTATATAAAGTAATTATAATATCTTTATATTACAAGATAATTTTAATTTAATAAAAATTTTTTATTTATTTATTTTATTTATAATATATCATATTACTGTATATTGAAAAACAGATCTGTAGGTCTATAGCACAGTGGTTAGTGCTCCACAGGTCAGATCACAAGATACCGGTTCAACTCCAGGTGAATAAAAGAAAAAAATATAGTATCCGACACCATAACCTGTCAAAGTGTCATTTCTTATACAAGCTGTTTCACATGCGATCATGCAAGCAATGAAATTGTGACTATCAAGAAAAAGGCATAGTGTCGTGACGATCATCCAGTTGGTGACATGATGATTGCCAGAAGTAGCAAGAAATGCGTAGATACCTGTTTCAGTAAGAATGAAAAGAATTGGTAATCATTTTCCTATGGGTATCAAGGCGTTTCTTCCATGAAAAGGTTTTCCAATCCAGTAATACGTCAGCTTGCTAGTTACCTATTCCGGAAAGGCAGCCACAAAAGCAGAAAGACCTTGGCCATTCTTGGGTAGCTAAAAAGAAGATGATAATTACAAATAGAATTGAAGTTAGTATCAGATAGAAAAGAAAGAAATGTGATAGATAATGCTTGAGTAAGCAAGCAGGGTGGCAGACTATACCTGGATAGGTTAAACTTGTGAGTAGGTTCTAGTTAATATAAGATTAATATAGTATAGACATAGCACATATATAACAAAAACTATCTATATTAATAAAACTAGAGCGTTGTCTCACCTTAGCATTTAAAAATATATATATATATATATATTATATTGAAAAACAAATATATTAATTTTATTTATAATTTAAAAACCAATTTATTTATTTATTTATTTTTTGTTTTTAATTAAATTGCAATTCAATATATTTATTAAAATAAAACTATAATATATTGAACTCTAAGGCTTTATATTAAAACTAAATTGTATGTATTGTAAAATATTTGTTAACAAGTTATTTGTAGATTTGTATATGATTTTTGAATTTTTTTTTTTTTTTTTTTTTTTATGTTGATAAACATCAGTTTTTTATTTTCTGTATATACTAATATATATCAATGAGAAAAAACCTATATCTCTCACAATACATGAGTTAAATGCTAGCTTACCAATGATATTTATCTAAACTATATTAGAAAAGAAAGTTTAAAACTAATATACTGTTTAGATAGTTGCATGACAGGCCATGCAATTTG